CCCTGAGTCCCAAGCTCTGGCCCTAGTCACCTGCCGCCCCAGCTCACTCACTTCTGTTGTTAGGCACCTGCTGCCTCCCCAGGGGTCCAGTCTGAACAGTGTCTGCACGAGGCAGCGGGGTCCTCATTACCCACCGCAGGCTCTGGGGCACCTGCAGCCTGCGGTTTGCAGGTACGTCCAGGTGTGCGGCCTTCGAAGGCAACTCGTTTCGTGAATGACCCAACCTCTCCCCCTGTTCCCCTTCTGTTCTTGATATTGTCCCCATCCCTCTTCTTCTTTCTGATCTTTGAAATGACTCTTCCCATTGTCACACTTCACTGAAATTCAGTCAAAGCGAACAGTACTTTCTGAGAATACCTGTTGCTTTGGCTGAGAAAACAGTTAATTTTGTACTTTTGTTATGGCCAATGAGTAAAATCATTAAAAAAAAACAAACCCCTTTTTGGTGTAGAAATTCTCAAAGAGCCCCTACCGGTTATCAGGACTTTCATTTCATCTGTTCGCCCTGCCCTCTTTCTGGGGGACTATTTTAAAGCAGTCTCAGAGGTGGCATCCATTCCATATGTAAATACTTCAAAAAGTAACTTGAACCAGTGAAAACCGCCCCCCCCAATCAAGTCCCCTACTCATCCTTGCCCACCAAACCATAATATCATTTGTAACACCCAATGAAATTAACACTATTTTTTTTAAAAAAAAATCAGGATCCAGGTAAGGTTCATACATTGTTACTTGGTACGCAAAATTTTTTGGAATTTTTTTTTTTTTTTTTTTTTACACGCTTTGGAATTGTTCAGTGATGACTAGTGTCCTGCCAGGTGCTCAGTGCCTCCTGTGGGCCGGGAGGATGAGCCCCAACCCTCATTACCTCCCAGCAGACTTTCGTGCATTTTACAGACGGGGAGGGGAGGCAGCATCTTGCCCAGGTTCTGGAGGCCTGACTCGCCCGATGTGTTAGCTTTTGCAGCCTGGATTTATGTAGACCAAGATTTTCTGTTTGAGTGCAAGCAGTGAAAACATTTTCAGGCTGCTGTGTTGTTTACTTCCAAAGGGAAGGCGCCCTCTGTAGAAATGTTTGGAAACAGTTGCTCTAAACATTTGGACTTCTAGGGTGATGCGTATGGTTTCTCAATATTGTGCTTCTGCCAAATAAGCTTCCACGTATGCCCATGCCTGTCACAGGCGTGTTCGAAAGTGTTCTCCTTTTTCTAAGATGCAGCAGTGGTGCCACGTGCTTTTGCTGTTGGAGACAACTCCTGGGGGAAAGAGACAGCCCCGGAGCTGCACAGCCCAGCCCCCGCTAAGTCCATGAGAAGTGCTACCCATGCATTGCCCGCCGCGGCCCTGCGGGCAGGCCGTGGACTATCCCCCTTCACAGGGGAGGCAGCCAGGGCTCAGGGCAGATGTGGGACTCTCCCAGGGTCCCACAGCTAGTAGGTGGCAAAGGTAGAGTGTAGACCTTTCAGCTCCACAGCTTGGGCTGCGAACATGGTGCCTTCATGGCCACGCTGCCTCGGATGCCGTTTCCCTTGCTTTCAGGGTCCTGCTCTTGCACTTGTCCACACCAGCATTTTATCCTGGAAAACTTCAAATAGAAAAGCTGAAAGAGCAAACCTATGCCCATTTACTTCACCTAGATTAAGCAATCGTTCACGTTAAATCCTCTTTGCTTTATCCCTGTATTTATATGTTTGTGTATATATTTTTCTGAACTATTTGAAAGTAAATTGCTGGGACTATATCCTAATCCCTGCGGACTGAAACCTGATTGATACTCAGGGACTGAAACTACCTGGTGCTGTTGATACGCAGTGTTGTTTGGCCAGGGGACCTTACCAGGAGGGAGCAGAGCAGGGAGGGGATGCCTCATAAGGACCTTGTGAAGAGGGGAAGGAGGGATGTTGGAAAGAACACTTAGCACCAGGTGGCTCCAGACGTGATACCTAGTTGCTGTTACTACAGTTGTTACTTTCACGGGCCGCAGTCCTCACAAATGGCTCTAGCTTGGAGGCCATCTCATGGGTCCAGCTACTGAGGCACCCCAAACCCAACGTCTCCTCCAGGCAGAATGGACAGCATTCTGACATTGTAATTAAAGATCCGTGAAGGTAGTCTTTACCAGCGTCGGGGCTGTGCGTATTTTATTCACCAAGGTTTGTGGGACAGCGCCGGGCACATGGCAGGCACTCAGTAAATATTGAATGAATAAATAATAGACAAAGATGACAGTCCACTGTCCCCTACCGTGCTCCTTCCTATAGAAGCAAATAAGTATGCTGGGCTGCTTCACATCAGGCTGGGCCATGGAAACAGGACTAGTCACTAGGAGAGACTGAGAGATCGAGAGAGAGAGAGAGAGAGAGAGAGAGAGAGAGAGAGAGAGAGAGAGAGAGAGATGGGGGCCAATGCTCCAATCAGTTGAGTTACCCAGCCAGGGCAAGACTGCTGTGCGTTTGAGTTGTCATTTTTGTTCTCACCTTGTTTTCTGTCTCCTTCCCTAGCGTAAGTGGTGGTGGAGATGATTTTTAGGGGCTTCACAAGGCGAGCTTAGGTTCTCTCTGGACATGACCCGCCTAAGGCACATTCAGCCCTGCCCACTTCTCCCTCCACCCTCGCAGCGTCCTGGGAGAGGCCGCAGCTTTAAGGCAGAATGTAGCAGCGCTCTGGTTTTCGTTGTATTTATTTTGATGTGTACAAGCTGTTGATGGAGGGAATGCTGATTTTTGTAATTAACCAGTGATGTTAAGTTTCTTCTAGAATAAAATGACTGGTTTACAAAGTCTACAGAAACCTCACAGCACAGGTGGAGGAAAGATGAGGCAAAACTGCACAACTCAGATCTTAAGTGGCCAAAATGGGGAAACACGGGCTTTGTGGAGAGCTCTGTGTCTCAGATCCCCTGGGGCGCTTGTTAAACACAAAGCTTCTGAGTCAGTAGGTCTGGGCTCATCCCAGATTCTGCATTTTTTAACAAGCTCCCTCCCAGGTGGTGCACATGCCCTGGCCCCTTGGGCCTCAACGTTTGACACCCAGGGCGGCGGCGGCGGCAGCAGCAGCAGCAGCAGCAGCATTGCCGGGAAGCTCGCTGGAGGCGCCAGCCCTCAGGCGCCTCCATGGACCGGCTCTGTCTGTAGGTGCCAGACCCCCACGTGGTTCCCGGGCTCTCACACTGCTGGGGAGTCCTCCATGCATGGTGAGCCCTGGTGAACGGGAGGGTTTCCATTTCTTGGTTTCCAAACCACGTAAAGAGCTCATGGAAGGAGGCGGCCAGGCCCTCTCTTGGCGACACCCTTTAATGTCCCCACTTTTCTTTCCACCACATGCCCACTGGTGCCCCCTTTGCTCTTGGAGGCCCGCGTCCTCTGAGCAGCTGCCTTGCTCTCTGGATTCTCCAAGTCAGCAGCTGGTGGGTGCGGTGTGGCTGGAGAAGGGACGTCTATCTGTCTTGGTACGCTCCCAGGGGATATAATTTGCTTGAGAGATGTGTTCTGGCTGCAGCTACTTGGGGTAGGGTGAGGGATTGTGGGAGAGCCAGCGTGCACGAGTCTTTAAAAAGCTGCCATGAGGACAGCAGCACCTGGGAGACCAACAAGGTGGGGACAGACGGTGCTTCATGAGGGGCCAGCTTCCGGGCCCTGGGGCCAGCTGTGTGGGGAAGAAATGGGAATCAAGGCTCCGGGGGTCTCCGAAGTGGGGGCTGTGGGGTCATGACAGGGATGGCAGCCTGTGGGTGGCAGGCTGTATTCGAAAGGTGGCCGCAGCCATCACCCTCATCTTACCTGCTTTCCTTCGACGGCGCTTTGCCCGATCCCTGTCAAGGGGCGGAGCCAATTCCGCCCTCCTGAGTCTGGGCCGACCTCATGGTGACTCCTGTGTAACCTACAGACACCGCAGGTCTCCTGCAGCGTGGTCAGAAAGCTGTTCAGCTTTGTGCCTGTGTCTCTTGGGACCGCCATTCTGAGCTGAGTTCACCTGTGGAGAACTGGACGGTGAGCTGGGCGGTGGCCTGCTGGCTGAAAGCTGACGAGGCAGCCACATCCCTCTGTCCCCTCCCCTAATTTTTCTCTTGGTGGTGACCACTTTTCCTGAGCCTCCGTGTTGTGGGTTCTGAGCATGTGAACAGGGTTGGAAGGGTGAAGAGATGACAAGGTGGATGCTTAAAGCTGTTTTCCTTTTATCTAATTAATTTATTTTTATAGAGGAGGGAAGGGAGGGAGAAAGAGAGGAGAGAAACTTGGATGTGAGAGAGAAGCATTGATCAGTTGCCTCTTTGCACACGCCCTGACCTGGAACCAAACCTGCAACCCAGGCACATGCACTGACTGGGAATCGAACTGGTGACCTTTTGCTTTGTGGGACGACACCCAACCAACTAAGCAACACCAGTCAGGGCAAAACTGTTGGGTTTCTGGACAGCAGCCCCAGAACGCTCCTCATTCCCCCTTTCCTTCTTTCTCCTTCCCTCTGCGTCTCTCCCCTGTCCTAACCTGTCTTTTCTGGAGGCTTTCTTTTCCCTCACTCTGCCCCCTACTGGTGGCCCAGAGGGTGGCAGGGCTCTCTCAGGGTAATGTGGAGGGAAGAACTCCCGCCAGTTCTTTCCCCAGTGGTGCCCAGTGCCCCCGACGCAAGTCCATTTTGCTCCTAGGCGCTGGCTGGGGCCTTGCCCTGCCCCCGACTGAGCCACCATTCTGATTCAGCCTCCAGTTCACCTTAGAGCCCCAAGTCCTTAGGGGCTCGGTACATTACCCTCCCACCTAGTCCCACCTGCCCAGAAAGGGTCCCCGCTGGCAGGTGGTGACAGAAGATTCTGCCAAGGCTCAATAGGCCTTTGGCTCTTTTCCCAGTGGGACCTGGCTGATGCGCCCACAGGGCGCCTGCCACCCGCTCCTGTTCCCTGAGGGCGACCCGCCCCCCAGGGCGCACAGGCCGTGGCCTTCCCAGGAACTAAGGGCCGCCGCAGAGCGCTCAACCCTCACGTACGTTTCTTCGTTTTGTTTCAGGTTTACAGAGTTTTTGGATCCATTCCAGAGAGTCATCCAGCCGGAGGAGATCTGGCTGTACAAGAATCCTCTGGTGCAGTCCGACAACATCCCGACCCGCCTCATGTTTGTAAGTACCGTGATTTCATGGCTGATCTGACTGTACGCCCGAGTGTGAACCAAATGAGGTTTTCCTTCTGCTTTAACCCCTTCTGAAGGCGGTGAGCGAAACTGCGTCCCAGCGAGATAGGGAAGTGGCCCCAGCCACAGGGCTGGTGAGCGGCAGGGCCAGGACCCATCCCAGCTGCCAGCCCCGAGCCCTACTCTCAGCCACGAGGCTGCCCCGTAGGCGGGGAGCTGTGTTCGGGACTCCTCGCTGATGCAGACAGCCTCGGGGGAGCCGCCACCGGGCCTTTCTGTAGCAGAGGAAATATTTCAGCTCCCCCTTGTTACAGAGCAATAATGTAACTTTTGGATGGTAACCTCGGAGATGGAAGGTTATGTCTGTGGACCAGCCTTTGTGTTTTACGCCTCTGTAAATGGAAATGTTTGCTTCAAAGTTTCATAGAGCACACAAGAAATGTGTTTGCATTTTGAAAGAAACCCCTCTGATTTTCTGGAGCAACTCTTGTTAATTAGTGGTGACTAGAAAGATCTCTGTGTCTGCAAACTCACCCAAAGGCCCAGAACACTGCCCGAGCATTCAAGTGTTATTTTAATTGCTTTTTAAATAATTGCTTTCCTGCCGGAAAAATAAACTGGACTTTGCTAAATCTCAGGGAAATTGAAAAATTAGAGTGGTTATGAGTAGAACACTACCTAACTCTTGAGTATTAAAACAAGAGTGTCTCCATTTTGGCTCTAACTCAGATCTTCTACAGATCTTCAAAAGAAAAGAACCAGTGTGCGTCTGACTAGTTTACTCCATGGCTTTAATGGGGGAAACTTCTCTTCATCACGTACCTGCACCCTGTTCTTCAAAGATGTCCCATGTCATGTGCTGTAAGACCCAATTTGGAGAGGAATGTTCCTATGAAAACTTTGTGGCTGTGTCCCCTAGGTTTATGCGAACAATGGATTCTTTTGAAGTCTGGCTGCAAACGCTACAGATACCCTGGGTGCAGCTGCGCGTAGCATGGAACGCATTTACATGTTGGCAGTGGCAGGGAGGAGGCTGTCAAGGAGCTATTCAGTGCCGCGGTCCTCAGAGGATAGAACGGTATTCAGCCACAAGTCCCGATTCACACCCGCTCATCTCCCAGGGGAGAAAGTCTGACCTTTCGTTTTCTTAATAGTAGTTGATGAGCTATAGTTGCAGTCTGTAATAACACAAGGAAAGCAGTAGATACATTTGTAATACCTGTAACCCAAAGATGAAAAATACTTTGTCATCACAAAAGTTAGATTGGCTTTCCTGGGTTTTATTAAGAGTTTAGTACAAGGCATCATCAATCTGCTTTGGCTTTTTAAAAACCTCAGGTATTTATAGAAAAAAAATGTGAGAGAACATACATTTTTACTGTTTTTTAAAAAATAGTTTCGTTTCCCTAGAAAGCTCAGATTTCATTATTTGAGTCAATAATGAATGATAAAACAGTCCTGGGGTCTCTTCTACTTTTGGCTGGAATATTTTTCTCTAAAGACAAACTTTCTAATGAGAATATTGCTAAAGGCAGCTGCTATTAACCTTGATGTTTCAGTTACTGGGAAATCAGTGTTTTTGGTGTGTGGGTGTTTTAGGGGAGCCACTTGGTCAAATGTCACCAAAGAATATCACCAGATAATGGTTAGGATGTTATGTGCAGAGCAAATGGCAATACCGTCACCAGGAAGCCCCGAACTCGCGTTTCCTGTCTTTGGCACCATCGGCTAAGGTGGCTGTGTCCGCCCATAAGACAGTTGGTTGTGGTTGGGCCCTTGGATTCCTTGAGCTTGTTTCCCTTGAAGACGCTGGCTTCCTGTTGACCAGAGAGACAGGCTGAGAATTCCTTCCACATGCGCTGAGTCTGACTTAACATTCCTTGGATGTTCCCAAGCCATCAGCTGCTCCCTTATTTGAAAGAGGTCATGAACAGCTTCCTGATCTGAGCATGTGGGGCTTGTCAGAGCATCTTCAAAAACCTACTTTTTTGGGGAGGAGAACTCCGTTGGTATTTTGGGTGTTGCTTTTTAGTGCACTCTGTGTTGTCTGTGGTTGTCACGTCTCTGCACTTTCAGGGAACACTTCCGGAGCCTGCTCTGGGTAGGGAAACTGTAGGAGCTGCAAGTGATGGGAAGTTGAATCAGACTTGGGGTACACCCTCAGGGACCCTGCAGGCTCCTTTAAAGCAAAAGAGAACCTGGAATGCGCCAGCGGAGAGGCTCAGGTAAACTAGGGAGTTTCATTGTCATCATTATTGTTGTTATAACAACAATAGCTGGCATCTCTTGGGCACAGGAACTGTGTTCATTGCTTTAAAGAGCATGTCTGATAATCCTTCCCAGAATCCCTGAGGTCACACTTCTGTCATCCCATGGTTTCAGTGGGGACAATGAAAGTAGGGTGAGATTTAGCTCCTGGTCCTAGGGTGTACACCTGTCAGTGGCTGGACCGGGATCGGGATGCAGCTGCCACAGCACAGACCCTCTGGGAGCCATTCAGCTGGGATGCCCCCTTGGGGGCCCGGGTGACGTGCAGCGGTGGTGAGGAGCTGGGCACACACAGGAGAGCAGACCCGGGTGAGGAAGGGCTGAGCTGGCCCAGCCAAGGGGACAGAAGGACGCAGGGATAGAAGCGGACTGCGGACAGCGTCCGGTTAGTTAATTATGGAGGTGTGAAGCTGAATGAGATCATTTCTAGGCTAGTGGGGGCTGTAGGCCTGAACATGAGTCAGCTGCTTCAGCATCACAGGAAAGCCCCAGAGCAGGCGAGACTCGGGTATGAAATTGAGGAAGGACGGGTGTCTCCAATTTCTTTCCTTGGCTTCAAAGAGTCTACTCAAGACTTTTACCCTTGTGGCTTTTGGCTTGGGCCACGATACATCCAGGAGACTAATTTATGTAGAATATTACTGATAATAGTGTTGCTTTGACAACACAGTTTCCTCTCCTGGAATAAGATGCTTCTAAGAAAGACAGAAATAAAGTTATTTTCAGAGAGGAGGGAAGGAAAAGAGACAAAGCCGGCCTGTGACAGACAGTTTAATTTTTAGACTCTTTTGAAAAGTCTCAGACAGCTCTTTTCTCTGTGAAGGGCTATGATTGTTTACCCGCGGCAGGGCCTTTCCCAGGTGTCTGCTTGTCCTGGGTTGTCTTTCTGAGCACTTGGCAGCACACGTTTTTGTCAAATGCCAGAAATTCAGGCACGTTGGGCCCCTCGTTTTATCTAATGTGAATGAACGCCAGCAATAAGCTCTCCTCTGCCTAACGTCCTAACATTGGGCTGTTCTGCTTTGACCCCTTTGGTTCTTCAAAGTGTTTGGCATGTTCATGCCCTTTCCCCTTCCGGGCTTTGATGATTCCCAGAAGCCTCCCGACAACCCCTCTAGCCCGCATCAGCACATGGTGGAGCCCACTCTGGGGGAGTAGCTACAGCATTTCCTATGTTGGTTTCATTGGGGGATGCACAAGGCAGGACCCTTGCTAGAGACGTTGGTCATGTAGGACATGGACGAGGTGCCCAGGCGGATTAGGCTCTGCCTGCCTGGGACCTCCTTCCTGCACCTAAGGGGGCCCCAAGGGCACAGGGAGGCTGGAGCTTCAACCACTTTTTCCCACATGCCTGGTCACAGGAGCCTGGTACCCCTTTACTGGTTTGGGACATTTGTTGGCAGTTTGCCTGGGAAGAATGACATGGTGGCCCACAGCCAGCCTTTACTGGGTTCCGACTCTCTGCCGGACTCTGTGGGTGGGCAGTTGGCGTGGGCTCCGGTGTGGACTGCCTAAGGTTGACTCCCAGCTTTGCCCCTAACTAGCTCCACAAATCACCTTTCCTCTCGGTGCCTCAGTTTCTCTATCTATAAAAGGGTCTTCAACAACACTTCCCTTCCCCTGCCCCCAATGTTGAGAGCATCAGGTCATAGGAAAGCCCTCGAAGAACAGGAAGACTCAAGTATGAAACTGAAGAATGATGGGGTTGCCCAGTCTCTTTCTGTGGCTTTAGGGAAAAAATCTACCCAGAACTTACAACACTTCTCATATAAGACATGTTCAGTACCTGGTAGGGAATTTAAATGCTAGTGATAATACTTTTCTGGAGACATCATCATACCCACTTTATAAATGAGGAACTGAGACTCAAAGGTGAAGAGGTGAAGTGACTTGTTTGAGGTCACAGAGCTGGGGCTTGAACCCAGCTCCACTTGATCGGCGTTTGTTCTACACATTTTTCTCTGTAGAGCTGTGTTCCCAGCCTGCAGAATAGCCTCATGCAAGACCAGCCATGTACCGGATCCTGCTTGATGATTTTTATATATTATCTTGATTGGGAGGGGGGGTACTTTGTAGTGCAATTAACTAGTAATTTGTTAAATGTTCTTCAATATAAGATTGATCTCAGCCTCAGTTTCCCCATCTGTAAGGTGTGCTGTTGGGCCAAGGTGCTATCTGCAGGTCAGGACTCAAACCCTGGAGCACGGCAGCCCAGGTGGGGCGTTCCTGGTCCCTCTGGCTGCGTGCCCTTGTGTGCTCTCTTATCTCTCCGAGCTCTAGTTTTGTTCTCTGTGCAAGGAGGAAAATGTTTCCATTTAGTAATGTTCACAGAGTAGTGAGAGGGTTAGACAAGTGTGAGGAAAGCCCTTAACATATAGTGGGTGTTTCATCCATGACTGCTGCTTTCTGTGAGTTATCTGGTGTCTGGAAAGGAGCCTTCATACTCCTCCTCCACTCCAGAGAAAAGCACTTACCATGGTTTATTAATGCATTGAACTTTATGTAATGAGAGCATCAATAACACTGTGATTAAAAGCTCAGGGCTTGATTTTGCCTGGGTGCAAATCCCAGGGTTAGCACTTACTAGCTGTGTGACTTTCAGCAGGTTGCTTAACCTCTCTGTGCCTTAGATAGTTGCCTATCCATGAAGTAAGGAGCCTTCTTCTTGGAGTTGCTGGGAGGATTGAAGGAGTTAAATAGCAGGGAGTGCTGGGTGAGACC